ATATATTTATTAATTTTATTATATTGATCTATCAGCCGTGCCTGGCTAACAATACAGAAGTTACAATGATGCAGCACACATGCACTCATGTTATCTTATTCTTTAACATAAAACTGACCTTTGGTCTTTACAAAGTAACTTGTCTTGGCTGTGTTTTAGTGGAGTAGTACTTTGTAAAATACAGTCACATTTCAATTATTATAGATTATATGTGTATATAGATTATTACTCTTGAAACTATATAATGATAAAATAATAAACAGTATTATTAACTCTCTCTCTCTCACCACAGGCTCTGTTGATTCAACATAAATCTTGATCCCAAATTGACCTTCAGAGTTTCCATACTATAACTTTTAATATGTTTTATGTATCTTCACAAACTTTTGTAAGCTTTCAATAAACATTACATGTCTTTTTGTAGATATAAAAAATCAGAATTTTTACTGAAGTAATTGTACTAAAACTTTCTCCATCAATATGTGGAGTCAAAGTTTGAATTGAATGCTCCTAGTGCAAAGTGATTTTTTTGTTGAGATTAAAAACAATTCTCTTCATCTTAAAATTGTCAAATTGCATTTGTATAGTCTCTGAAACCTCCTAAATAAACTTCAGTCGTTTTATTTTCACTAAAACTTTATATTTTATCTGTTATTTTCTCTACCCTAACTCTCTATAATTTGATCGATATTGTGACCACAATAAAAAAGTAATCTCAATTACTCTTTTCTTTTTCTAGTATTGACTTCAAATTGTAGCTAGATTTGTTTATCCTTAAAGTTCGTAATAGTATACATCTACTTATATTTAACCCTTTCCATGCGGGTCAAAGGCCATGTCATCACATTTGTTGACTCGAATTCAAAATGATATGTTGAATGCAGCACTGGTTCAAATTGGATAGTTGTGATGTCAAAATACAAAGTCTGTAGTTTTGTTTGAATTAAGAACTCAAATTACCAATATTAACAAGCTAGAATATAAAATAAGAACCTCCTATCTTTTCTATTTTGCTGAAGTATCACTCGTACTGTATCAAACACAGTGGCCCTGTTCACCTCTTTTCATTTTTGGAAATGCTCTGTTATATATAAACTTACTTCTGTCTATGAAATGAATAACTAATTGAAAGCTCAGAACATCACCTTGTGGCTTTTTCAGCCATTTTCAAGTATTACAACATCACCTCATTCTTTCGATACAAATCTTCAACCTGGTATGGTGAGTCTTTAGTCTGCTTGAAATTTCATATTTTTTAGACCCAAATACAGCTTAGTTACTAAACTTGATAAATTATAGTGGAATTCTATGGTATCGATATAGTAATTTATGATTTTTTGGTTATTTCAAATGTGTATTTATATAAAACTTAAACAAATTATTTCATTTCACATCCTCTATGTCCATACTAGGGTAAGATCGAGGATTTTTTAAAATATTTCCTTACAAAATTAAGAAGTTAAAATTTATATGGAAATTTGATTTAATAACTGCATTTCGATGCCAAACTTGTTCATATACCATGAGAATTAAATTAAATTTTGAATGTAACTAAAAAGTCATGATGTGTGCACTTTGACCTGCCTGTTGCAAGAAGGTTAAGCAAAGATACTGGTGTTATAGATTTTTTTCATAGTATTTCAACATATTTCTCTGTCAATGAATTCTTTATAGACACAAAAATCATTTGAGTTATTACTTTTTGAAGTACTGATTAAAAAAACTTGTGGTTTCATAAAAACTTTTGTATACATTTAAAAAGATTTAGAAATACACTAAACAAAAAAGTTAATAGCTTAGGTGTACAAAACAGTTTTGAAAAACCAAAGGGATTTTGCATAAAGTAGTTCACATTGCACTTGCCATGATATGGAAAGTAGTAAATAAATAAATAACATTTTTCCTGTATTTTGTTTTTATATGAATGAACTGTATACATTGATTCATCTGAATAGATGTAGAAAATAGATCAAATATCAGTATTGGTTGAGCACTGAAGTAAACTTAAGTGCAGATGTACTAGTGACAGCATATTGATTTCAGATAGGAATATAGTACCATTTATATTGTAATAGAAGATTCTTAATATTAATTATATATATATATAAATAAGCTACTTAACAGCATTATTTGACATTAATATTCACTGAGAGAAACATAAAAGTGCAGTGATTCAGTGCTCTGGAGCCTCTGTTTTAATTAATTTATTTCAAATTGTACCTTGTAGTGTTATTTTTTACAATTGACTGTTGCTTATTGCACTTCAGTTTGAAATAACAGTCTTCTATTCCAGTTCCAAGAAGGAGAAAAGAAACGGTATAAGGCAGAACAAGAGAGACAGGAGCATAAACATAGGCGTCAGTTTGAAGAATTAAAAGCATCGTGTGAATCTGCAATTAATGAGTTGGAACAATTGCAGGCATGTTTTGTATTTGTTTTCATGGGGTGTTTTTTTTTTCAAAATCATTTTCTTTCACGTTCTAATTTTATGTAAGTTTATGTATATAAAATATGGGTAGATAAATAGATAAAAAAAATATAAAGTATTTTTCATTTTAGTTTCCATATACTCCTAACTGCTTGATACTTATTGTAGTCTTATAAACCAAAACCATAAAAACATAAACTGTAAGTGGGTGATAATTACATAACTACATTAAACTCTGTGCAAGGAATATGAAATGATAGTCATCAAAGCTATAACAGAAATGTAAGTTGTGGGAATATCCTATTTCTTCAGTGTCTATCAAATGCATACATAAAACAAGTAAAATTGCACCATCAATTCAGTAATGTGTATGGGTTTAATATACTCTCAGTATCCTGAGCCGTACTATAATTAACTGTCCATGGCTGTTTGAGAGTATGGTAGTAACTATACCTGGTATCAAATAATTGTATAGATGTTTGTATACAAACAGGTCTAATTAGGATTATGTAAAAAAAAAACATGAGAACACTCAATCAGCCACTCTTAAAATATTAAAAATGATATTTGAATTGTAAAATGCCATCTGGGCATATCATCACACTATTTTGGTGAGTGGCATAGTTTTTTTTTATATATTAATTCAATTCTTTGTATGTATTACTTGGCCAGGGTATAACAAATCTGTGGAACTGTAATAGTGACAGTTTGTACAACTAGCATTATTGAATTGTAATGTTTAGGGTCTTCATGGTACTATAGAGAGAGAGTGGTTTTTTATAAAGTGAGGAAATCATGAAATAATAATGTTTTTTATAATGTAACAATTAATATTATTAATTTATAATAATAATAATAATATAGTTATAAATTTTATAATTTTTAAATGAAAAACATGTAAGTGAGTCTTGAACTTAGGACCAAGACTTGAACTCTGAGACCTCTGGTTAACAAGGCCAGTGCTCTAACCTATCCAGGAGTGCAAGCAGTTTTTACCAGTGTTCATGTATAAAGCTTTTTATCAAGAGTATGATAGTTACAAAGATCAAATCATAGGCATCTATCACAGACTTATTATTATTTATTAAATTTCGTAAGGAAGTCGTCAAATAGAAATATTGTTATATCGTAAAATTTATTTTTTAAAGTTAAAAACCTATAGTTGGAAAGACACTGGAACCAAGAATAGTTGTTTGATACTAAGAAGAATTACTATTATTCCCTCAACTGGCTATGGATAGTGAATGGTAGTATGACCTGGAATAATGTGGTTTTAACTATGACACTCAGCTGGGTCACCCCCACCCCCTGAAGGCAGAGTTGCATCATTGAATTAACAATGTTTGTAGAAAATCAATTTGTAGTTATTCTTTTACAAATGGTTTTTAAATACTTCAGAGTTGAACTTTATTCAATAAAAGAAAATATTTGTTACTTTATGCATAAAAATATTTTTAATTACAGATGTTGTATTCTTTAGCATAACCTGAATGAAAACATTAATGTTTGTGAATCTCCTGAACTTTTTCTGAGCATAATACAATACTTGTAGCATTTAAAGGGGAAAAGTTGAAATAACAAAAGAGTACCAATCTTATACACATAACTTCAATGCAAGTGTAGTTTTACTGATCCTTAGCTGTTTCTCAGCCTTGTTTGTCATAGTGTGATGTTACTGCACATATCTCAGCTTTGATCTAAACTTGTAATGAAATCTCTCCTTTTTTTTCTGTTCTTTTCAAATGTAGAAACAAATTTGGCTTTCAGTTTAGCAGAGAATCATGTAGAGGTCAAAACAAAGTGATAAAAGCTTAACATTGTTAGAAGACAAAATGAACAACTTCCACCATAATTTCAGATTTTTTTAAAGCATGTGAAAAACTTGCTTTGTCGTTGTATATTTCATATGAGTTATGATGTTGCAGTATGGTAGGAAAACATTTTTAATGGAAAATGAGAAGGTATGGAGAATTGTTAGGCTTAATTTGATCATTTTACACCCAGATGTAACAAGTTTTGTTTTGCCAACAAGGCCACCATTTTGTTAGGCTGTATTTACATTAGACCTTATTGGCCAATTTTTAAAATTAAATTTGAATGAAAAAAAAAACAATAAGTAAAAAGGAACTTCTGTACATTATGATCATAACTTAGTATAGTGAACCCACTCATAGTAAGAAGCCATATAGGCAAATATTAATGAGGTTGGCTTGTTATCTTGGATGACTCAGTTAGTAGAACACTGACTTTGTTCGTCAGAAGTTCTGGGTTCTCTTTTTCTCTTTTTACATGTAATCTTGTTCTTGTAAAATATGATGTTAAGAATCATCGTATTGGTCTAGGTTACTGTGTGAATAAGCAAAAAATTCACATAAACTAAATGTACACAGTATATAAACAAATATAAAATGGGTTTAAATGAAACCTTCTGATTAAAAAATATAGTTTCGGAATGGTAAAAAAAGTTTTTTTTTGTTGTATTCCAGTAATTATGAAAATACAGTAAAACAGAGAGCAGTTTTATTTGAATCAAAACTAAGAACAAATGTATAGTTTTATATTTTAAAAAAATATTGTAAAGATGCTTACAAGGATATAAGGAAACATAAAAATCAGCAATTTAAATTTACAACAGAAGTAAGCATTTCTAATTGTTTTAGAAGAACATATCACAATGAAATCGTGTTGAATTTTAAAGTGGTGAATTTATACGGATATCAATTAAAAATATGGTATTTCATTTTCAGAAGCTACATAATCTGTAGAAAGTTATCTCAGGTTTCATCTAATACTTTGTTTTTGCAATGCAGTAAAATTAACCATATACTGGTGTGTCAAATCTATGCATCAGTATGTGTAAGAGTTAAATACACCACAGTGAATTAATGTTGTGCATCTACTGGTACTTCACCTATATTTCATAGATACTGATGATATAGTTCTTGACGCTTTTTGTTGGTGCTAGTACCGTAATTGTTTAATGTTATAATTTATGCACTTTTCTGAAATAGGTATAACTTTCATATATAATGTATGTGTATATATACAGGAACATAAATAATTATAGAAACACATATGTACAGGAGTCATAAACAAGGAATAATGCCAACAAGATGTTGAATTTCTTATTAGATGGTACAAAACATTATCACAATAAAGTAAATAAAGTGTAAAATACACCTATTTTGTATGTGAGCATTTTGCTTTACACAAAACATTATAGCTTGTTTCATGCTGTACATCTATGTACAGTTGTGGAATATTGTTTTAAATGTCCTGTATTACTTCCCACAACATGGCCAGGTAGTTAGGGCACTCGACTCGCAATCGGATGGGTTGTGGGTTCGAATCCCCATCCCACCAAACATGCTTCCCCTTTTAGCTGTGGGGGTATTATATTGTGACAGTCAATCCCACTATTCGTTGGTAAAAGAGTAGCCCAAGAGTTGGTGGTGGGTGGTGATGACTACCTGCCTTCCCTCTAGTTTTACTCTGCTAAATTGGGGATGGCTAGCACAGCTAGCTCTCATGTAGCTTTGCGTGAAATTCAAAACAAACAAACAATACTTCCTACAATTCAGCCAAATTGCGGTTTCCTTTTGATATTCCAAATTTTTACACAAGTTTGTGTAACCTCAACAATGCTCATACTGGGACTTTATGTTGGCTACGCCATGATTGTGTATGATGCATTGGCCTCTTAGCTATCAAATTGTTACATATTTGGGAACATTGTCTTGCTGGAAGATGAACCCAACCTAATGAGTCATCCTGAGGTAATGGCTTGATGGATCAGAATGTGATTGTACTTGTCAGAAGTTAGGATACCATCACTTTTGTGTAAATCATTGTTACCATTGACTGAGATGCAGCCCCAAACTTGTATTTACTTCAATATATTGCTGCCATTGAACAGACTGTTGTTCATTATTGCAGAGCAATTTGAACTTGTCAGAAGTTAGGATACCATCACTTTTGTGTAAATCATTGTTACCATTGACTGAGATGCAGCCCCAAACTTGTATTTACTTCAATATATTGCTGCCATTGAACAGACTGTTGTTCATTGTTGCAGAGCAATTTGAACTTGGATTCATCTATAATGAGTACATGCCATCAGCTCTGCTAATTCCATTGTTTGTTGTCTGTATACATTTCATCCTTTTGGTTTAGTTTTTCAAACAGCTACACATCTGTTGAGACCACTGCATACCAATATGTGTTTCACTGTTCTCAGGTAACATTCACACTTATTTTTACAGCATGGTCATATGCAAGATCTTTATCTGACCATCACCTGTGTCAGTAGTAAGTGTTGACTGTCAAGAGAGCCCTTTCTCACCAGTCCAGTGGGTATCCCCATAAGTTAAACTACAACTATAAAATCTAAAATGAAAACAAACCCAAAGCTAAAACAGAGTCTCACACTGCAAGCTAAAATGTTTATGAGAACTCTGAATGTTACATTATATACAAAGTTCAACTTGAATAGTTACATAAATCTCAGTTTGCTAAAATTTTAATAAAGGAAAATCTGCTAAACGAAGGAAAGCCTGGCCTTTGATACTTAAAATACAATAATACTGGACAAAGCCAGGTTGCACAAGTAACTGGAGGGCAGGGTCACTACCTGATTCACTGACAGTAAAAGACAGCATTCCATTTTAGGACATCACTAGCTATTTTTTGTGCAAAAAAAACATAGTTAATTGTCAATTAGTGAACTAACTTTTGGACAGATATAGAATCAGGTTGTTTACTTGAAAGATTTTCTGTGTTCAGGTGGACTTAAAATTTACCAGAGGAGGAAGATGCAAGATTCAATTACTTGTTATTAAGCTGAAGTTGGGAAAAGTTGAAGTATACTTAGAGGATTGTTAATGATGATGAAGTCATTAATGCTTTGTTTAGTAATGCATGATCAGAAATGATTTATTTTAACAGCTAATTAAGTAATTTTTAAGTTTTTTTTTTGGTTGAATAAGTAGTCTTTTAAATAGCTTAGACATTATGGTTATTGCATTTTTATAAAACCTTAGTATCTATTACACATAGAATGAAAAGAGGAAGATGCTGATGGAACATGAAACTACCAAAGTAAAACAATTAGATGAACAACACAACAATAAACTTAAGGAGTGGAAAGTTAACCTTAAACTTCGGAAACAGGTAAAATAATATTTCAAATATTTTTAACAGCTAAGTGTTGAAAGATCATAGTATTAGGTATAGCTATTTAAGTAGTATCTTATACTTTTCTGTATTAAGAAAGAAATATCAATTACTATAGTATCTGTTGTCAGCGGTCTAATTTGAAAGTGCTTTTTTGAGGTGAATTAAGAAATATTTGGAAACACAAAGGAATTCAGAGGTATAAAAACATTGCAATGCAATAACTGTTAGAAGTAGAATTAATCTTTCATCTTGTAAGGTGTTGGATACTTTAAATGTAATTAGCAGGAGAAGCTAAACATTTGGTCTGTTTCTAGGATAAATTTAGTATGCTGAAAACTATTCCTATTAGACTAAGAAAAAAATTACATATGATGTAAACTTACCTTTATTACTTACATATGTAGAAACATCATAGTATTGTTTTATGTGCTTTTGATAGTGTGTGGTTTTTTCTTTACTTCTCTCCCATTTCATGCAAAAAAGAAAAAGGTAGCAGCCCACTGACAAGTTTACTGGAAAGACTGTAATTATAAAACTTAATAAGATTGACAACTACATTTGTCCATAGTTCTCAGAAGGATTATTTTTTAAAATTTAATAAATGAAAATTAATACTTCCATTCAATGACTTTTGATCCCATTAAAAGTAACTTCAAGGCAAGCAATGTGATACAGTTTGGTTTGATATATTGTAACTAACATGTTGGGTCTAAAGATAGAATTGTGTAGCAGAGTTTTGATTCATTAGATTTAAATTAGATAATTCGTAATATGTTTGTCAGTTAAGCAGTTGTATTATGTTACCATATTTTCATTTTGTGGTTGCAACATAAAAATTAATTAAAAGCAGAATATTAGTGTAAAATTTTGTATACCTTACTGTTTTCTGACATGAAATACATGCCTTTTGTGTAATAACTTATAAAAAATAATTACTTCAAAGGCATTTTTACTCTCTGAAATAAAGTTTTTAATAGCCTTTGAAATTGTCTTTGCATACTATTACTGTGGTATCTTGTCTTAAACATATAAATTAAGAAAATTGTAGAAGTTGGCCAAAACTTTGACTCAACAAGTACATTATCAAGATTACAGTAAAGTGTGTCCTGAATTGTACAATATACTTGTCAGTGTTTCCTGTTTTTGCATAATTTATTGGTAGTCTGATGTAAGAGGTTGTATCATACTACATATGTGTAGATGCATGCATGTAAAATGGGGCAAAGGCTAGTCTGTACAGCCAATGAATGAAACTGAAAGTTAATGGTTTTAAAAATCCAAAAATTGTAGGCCTATCACTTATATATTTTAATAATGAAAACCAAATATTTATAGCTTGATTTCATTTGAATTTGACTGAGTTTAATTGTACAGTACCAATGTTTCTAAGTTGGTTTCTGATCATACATACAGGTTGACTTGCTAACTACATTTTACTATTACTTTGTCAAATAATGCTTGGTTTGCTTGCTACATAATTTTAATTATGATAAAAAGTGATTCACTACATTTCTTAAGTTAGAATAAACAGTGCTTGACTCAGCTTTTGCAAGTCAGTATTTTCTGATTAAACAGTTCTTGACAAATCCATTATTGTTAGAATAAATAATACTGAATTTACTATACAGTACTAATATTAGAATTAATAGTGCTTAGAATAGTTTTTCTACAGTGTCATTTTTAGAATCCTTACTGTATAACTTAGTTGTGCAATACAATTTCATGTGATGGCCAAGTTAATTAGTAGGCTGTGCTATATGGTGTCATCAATTGCCACAAAACATTTTTGTGATTGAATATTTCAAACCACTGTATTAATTATTTGTGCTTTGTTTTCATCAAGGAACTAGAGGTGGAGTTCTCCAAACAAAAGGAAGAACAAGAACAGTTTTATAGAAACTTTGCCTTTACAGACTGTGAATTCACTGTAGGATCAGAATCAACTTTTAATCCAACAATTAATCTTAAATAATAAAAATCTATTTTTCAACTGATAAATTATAATTTGAGGATGTTTTGATTGCATGCCATTTAAAAATACTAAGGATTATGATACAGAAATTTTGTTTATTTTTTTTTTCAAAACATATATGTGAATGCAGTATAATTTGGCTTTTGCTTTATTATTTACAAAATAAAATTTGACACAAATGTATCTCAGAGAAAATGATTTTTGTTAGTCTTAAGAAATTGAGATTTGTTTATTAAAGTTTATTTCAAAGTAAAATACAGTATTAAAAATACTTGGCAGAATTTACTTATTTGGGAGCCATACCACTCTTTCTCTCGTTTTAGTAACTTGTAAGAGAAAAAACCTTGTGTGACTTTCAAGTAGGTTCATTTTTCTCAAGTATTTTTAGTAGTTTAGTGATGCAATGAAATTGAATAGCAATGGTATCAAATCACTGAGGAGTAATTCTATAATCAGGATTTTCAGTATTGTTAAGTTACAACCTGGAGGCTAAAGCTCTGTGATTAAACATGATTATGCTGGTAACTTATCAGTTTATCTGTACGTCAGTTTTCAACTTGGTAAAACACTGTGGTGACCTGGATATCAACGAATTATTTTTATCTACAGATTTTTATTTGGTTATATACATGTTAGTTTTGTATTGCAACATCCAAAAAATGCTGTGATTGAAAGCTTAATGACCTATTTTGGTACATGTAACTTCCTATAGAGAGGGAAAGAAATGTATTAAATTGTTGGTGCCAGAGGTGTATAAATGTTGAATATAAGATACCAGTTTTTTAGAGAACTCTGTGTTCTAAAAATTTACAATAAGTGACTTTGGGTATAGTACTTACTGATCATCTTGTATTTTAATTTCACTATCAACGTTGATTACAAAACAACTTGAATTTGTGCTATGTTTTACTGTACTTAAGTATTCTGTCCTGAAATTAGTTATTCGTAGGTAACTTCACATACTTAATGTATGTATCCTTTCTAAATTATGATTTATCCACTTATGTACCAAATATTGATTGCAGACAATGTTATCATAGATTGAAAACTGTTGACTTTGTGTTTCTAGCCTTTACATCTTAGTATAATTATTGTCTCACGTGTTGTTCAAAGATCTAAAATGTTCTATTTTCTTCATTTATTGAAAAACCTAGTAGTTCTGAAATTTTTGTGTATCTATAATCTCTCCTCATGCTGTATAAAGTTGATTGTAATTATGAAGTTGTTTATTAGCATGGTTTTGTTCTTTGATGTCACTATAGACCTGAATAATTAGATATTCAAAACTATGGTATTGAGGTTAGTGTGTTATAGATACAGTTGTACATGATTTATGGAAAATTCTCAATTTTTTTTATTTGTAATAAACTTACTATACACACTTCAGTGAATTTTAAAATTATCCTGAAATATACATGCCAAATTTCTAGATGTATTTAATTTTGAGGTTGGTTTTTAATAAAATACTAATTTTAAACTTTCTTGGCATTAAATGATGTGTTTTTTTAATTTACAGTTGCAGTGACCTGATTATCTAAATGTTTCATTCTTACAGATATATACAGAGTGTTGAATGTTTGGATAAATTATTTTTGCAAATCAGGAGATGCTTTCACATAAAACTTTTACAGTCGATGAAAGTCAAATTTCAGTCTTGTAATATATAAAATCAATTAGAGTAATTATCATTTAACTAAGTGAATCTTCTTGTGAAATATTTTTTAACCTGGACATTATCTTCAGTGGATAATTCAGTTCAACAAGAAAGTCACTTAAAGGACCCTTATTTTCAACAAGAAAGTCACTTTAGGACCCTTATGCTGTGTATAACTCAAGCATTTTTCAAATTCATTTTCGTTTTTGTACAGTCTATTTTGATATTCAGAATTGGAAACTTGTGAAGTAAAAACTAAATTCTGTTTACTAATGTAAGGTTACATTTATCTAAAATCTCTTGTTTTTCTAATTAATTAGATTTACTATAATAAATCTTTCTGTTGTGAAAAAATAGTGCTATACACGTTTCACAATCAATGTAGCTATTTCTTCAGCTAAATTAAAACAGCTACTGATACCTCTTGACAGAACTATCAGGAGATTCATGGAGAATACCACGTTCATAAAGGTTTCACTGCTATACACATCAAACTCGGCTGATGATACCTCTTGACAGAACTATCAGGAGATTCATGGAGAATACCATGTTCAAAATGGTTCCATTGCTATACACATCAAACTCAGCTGATGATACCTCTTTTACAGAACTATCAGGAGATTCATGGAGAATACCACGTTCATAAAGGTTCCACTGCTATACACATCAAACTCGGCTGATGATACCTCTTGACAGAACTATCAGGAGATTCATGGAGAATACCACGTTCATAAAGGTTCCATTG